TAGTTTCGCGCCGAAATTATTGTCGAAATACGTCTACTACGTAAACCGTTAATGAACTGTCTTATTGCCAATTTTTCGTTAATTGGCTTCAAAATTTTTTCTGATGCTTCATCAGAATTTGACTGTGAGATTGTAAGTTCGTAGAATAAATTTTCGAGACGAGTTCCAAACTGCGCGATCGTACCATCTCGTTGTGTGGTATTTTGTAATTGTGTCATTAGAGAAGTTGGATTTTTAGATACTATTAAATATTTACGAATATCTGATATTAAGAATTGCAATGAGCCATATTTTTTATTTAATTTAATTTTAGAATTTCTATCTAGTCTTGTTTTTAAAATAAAATTAATTAAAGTACTTTCTTGTTCTTTTTCAATACATGATAAATATAATTCTGACGTATCTATTAATTTATGAATTGTATATTGTTTTCCGTCTAACTCGGGTATAAAACTAGAAGCTGTTTTCAAATTAAAGTTTTCCATTTTTATTTTATCTTTTTCCCTACTTATTTATTCGCTTTATATTTGTATTTTCAAAATCAATCAATCAAATAAAAACAAAGTTGTAATAGTAATTTTCTAATTTTCTCAAATCTGAGCTTATTTGACTTAAAAAAAAATTCTATAGTCCTTAATACTTTTTCATATTCTTCCATTAGTTTATACACAAACGATTAAAATTAAATTTAAATCATTTTTCATGCAAAATATATACTTACAAGTAAAAAAAAAGATAAATATTGCAACACATGCTCTTAGGCAAGGTCGTCTTTGATTAAATAGATATTTGTTTTATATATATATGTGCCACTTTATTATGTAACATAAAAGGCCGGTAACCACACCTTGAAGAGATGCGGCATAAAAGGTGGCGTGGCCGTTTCTGGAACCGTTTACGGATCACATTATTTGGATAGTACTCGATATCATATGACATTCATTTTAATATGAAATATTATAACATAATCTTTATAAATTAAATTCTCAATATTAATATAATTAATAGAATCTTCTCTGCTTTATGAAATCATCTTCCCGACTCGTTGCATCTAAAACTTATATTTCACTGAGTACATACCGTTATTAGTTCACTTCGTCACTTTTAAATAAACTTTATCTCTCGCCTTATCTCGAACATATCTCGATCCTAGATTCGAACAACTCCCGGCAGCTCTACAGGTCAGGAACAGCTCCCAGTAGCTCGACTGGACACGAACTTCTCCCGGCTGCTTTATATTCATCGTCGCTTTATATTATCGCTTTATAGTCTACTATACTCTTGAGTCAGTTTTTCTACCTGATTTCTCAATATAAAATTCTTCCTTATATGTCTTCTATATAAAATTCTGCATATTGCGATCACTCCGTACAATAATAAAATACCAAGAATCACTAAATTTCTTCACTTCTTGTTTTGCGTAATTCGTATCGGGGGTTATCTCGAACACACCCATTTTTATAGTTCGTTATTATTTACATAACGTTATATATCACTAACATATTTTATAGCTTATTTATTTAATAATAGTGTCGGGGACGAATGTATGTGTTTAAATTAATTATAATATATATATTATTTTATAGTACATTGTTCACATAGTTTTGTTTCACTGTATAGTTCATATCTATATAACACTTTTATGAAATATTTCGCTTCAATCATGGATCTATTATCTGATGTTGTTGCGTGAATTGACCGCATCCTACGCATTTGACATTTAAGTATTTCCAGTAGAAACATGGAAATTTTGTGCAGTGCTATTTTGTTATAAAAAGTATATGATAGCACAGAAATATTTTTTCGAATTAAATTTTGTACGTCTAATCACCTAGCTTCTAAATATGAACCTCGACGAGGTAAATGTATGTTATATCTAAATCTGTCTCTACTCATTTCTCGCTAGCGAACTATTTATCCCATAAAATAAAGAGTATAATTATAATGTATGTATACATTTAAGTGTTACACTCATATCGGTCAACCGCAACACGAGCGCAGGTGCGCCCAAAACTACGTTATAATGTAACGGTATATACCATGCCGAATCGTAAACCAGTTTTGGTAGACAATATCTTAACGTCATCATTACGAAACATGACTAAATTTATTTAGTATTAATAACATATTAACCGATATCAATACCGATTATCTGTTTACGATATTCTAGATAAAGAAATATGATACGGACTCTTTAGTCGGGCAGTTTGAGATAGAATGTCGAGATTTGTAAAGTATTATATTTATGCCATTATTTACTTGTGAACCACCATTGTTGTGGATTTTATACTGTCATTTTAACTGTATAATAAGAAACTCAGTTTCTGCTCTACTTATTGAAGCAACATCTTCTTACAGATTGCGTACATAATAGACATATTTTTATATTAATAATATTCGTACGAATAGAGACAGACGTACACTCTTTATACAAGCAGAGTTTATAACACGCTTTTATCAGTCAATTGATAAAAGTTAACCTTTGCATTTTAAGTTTATCTGTCCAGTTAGTTGGTGTTAGCCAGACATAATTCTAAATTTAAAATTGAAGTTGGAAACCGTTCTGCACTAACCTTAGTAGGTAGTAATTTAAGATGTATTACTACTATTCAGTGTGTAATTGTTAATTTCTAAACTTATCATTTTAAAAGTTCCAAGGAATTGTCGTCTGTCATCGTTTATTGGTTTTGACCGCTGAAGCGCCAAAAACCATCTGATATAGCTTCAAATTACATTATACCTTCCTTAAAGATCTTCAGTATGGGACTGTTATTAAAATTTATGCTATTTAGTTTTTAAACACTCCAGCGGTTGAAAACAGTGGACGTTATTAGGCGACGGTACCTCATTGCAAACTTTATACAGAAAAAACCATTTGAACACCCTTGATTTGACTTGCTTTTCATCACGACAGATATATTTTCACTTTTTGCAAATTGTAAAAAATAATTTGTTACATACACATTTATAAGATTTTTAAGTAACTTATTTTTAAGTATTTCTAAGACGAATGCAAATTTTATATAGACTATTTATTGCATTAACAGTATTATTTTAATTTATTAACTTCACTAATATCATAATTATGAAAGATTTGATTGTTCATGGCGTTGAATTCGTGTCCGCAGCAACTGGCAACTAATTTTGAAAACTCTTTCAAAATTAGTACTCGGGAAAATACATCGATTCATAAAGTTGGTGATGTTTTCAAAATATTGAAAAAATATTTTTTAGGGTACCACCTCTACAAGTAACATGGTGATGATTATTTCGCCTTCCCAATAGTGTCGTTAGATGGGTCTTTCAAAAACGTTGGTGATGGGGGAAGGCCGTTTTTCAATTTAGTAACTTATTAAACTTTAAAGGCTTAATTTTCGTTCGAGTCAAGTGTCCCCCCCAACTAAATGGACGTTAGTAAGAATTCAAACGTAACGGTAGTAAAACCTATTTATAACGAAGTTAAAAGGAAAACTATCACACTTAAGTTGGCTTTAGAAGTTAACGAGTAATTATTCGACCAACTGAATTTAACTCGAAAATTTCGAACAACTAAAAGAAAAATAAAATAAAGTGATTATTTTTTACTTTTTTTTATGGATACGAGGGTCAAACTGAAAGTTCTTAGAACTGGCCACTTATAAACAATATAATAAAAAAATAATTCTAAAATTTGAAAATATAACTCTTTGCCAATATTACTGAGTATATATTTCATTCATTTGTCATTTGTTTTACGATTTGGCGGCAAATTGAAAATTGTCTGTGTCACGTCATCATGAATTTAATACGAGAAAATTTTCGTGCAATGATTTTTTATGACTTTCGATGTCATTTAAGTCAACAAGAAAGTTATGATAGACTACGATTGGCCTTTCACGATGAAGCCCCATCTCGTGCGACTGTTTACAACTGGTTTAATGAGTTTAAACGTGGTCGCACTAATCTCACTGATGATTTACGTGAGGGACGGCCTTCTACGGCGACGACTGAAGATAACATCTGTGTTGTGCGGCGTATGATAGAGACTGACAAAAGAGTGACCTATCAACAGATTCGGACAAGCTTAGGCATCGGTATGAGTCAAGTGCACAAAATCCTCCACGAACATTTAGCGGTCAGGAAGCTTTGCGCCCGGTGGATACCTCATAATTTGACTGAGGCTCAAAAACTCCATCGTGTGGATTGGTGTCGTAAAATGATTGAAAGATTTAACGGAGGTGACTCAAATGCTGTGTTCGACATACTAACAGGTGACGAAAGCTGGATTTACTGTTATGATCCTAAAACCAAAAGACAATCTGCTCAGTGGGTGTTTCCTTTCGAGGAGTTGCCAACTAAAGTGAAGAGAGATCGAAGTGCGGGAAAAAAAATGGTGGCCTCGTTCTTTGGAAGGATAGGTCATTTTGCAACAATTATGTTAGAGGATCAAAAAACAGTTTCTGCAGAATGGTACACTACCAATTGTTTGCCACTTATCTTGGAAAAAGTTCGAGAGAAACGACCTCGCAGTAGGATCCTCCTTCACCACGACAACGCCTCGTCGCACACCGCCAAGCGAACGATCGACTATTTGGCGACATCAAACGTTGAATTACTGGGTCACCCGCCGTATAGCCCCGACCTCGCGCCTTGTGATTTTTATTTATTTCCAAAAATTAAAGAAAAACTTAAAGGAAAGCGGTTTATGAATGCTGAAGAAGCGGTGGCTGCGTATCGCGATGCCATTGAAGAGACCCCTAAGGACGAGTGGGCAAAGTGCTTTTCCCAGTGGTTCCATCGCATGCAGCGGTGTATTGACGTGAATGGACAATATTTTGAAAAGATATAATAAAACTAATAACTGGCTAATGTAATCAGTTTTTGATTTTCTAAGAACTTTCAGTTTGACCCTCGTAATGGTACAGAACCTTCGTGCGCGAGTCCGGCTCACCCTTGGCCAGTTTTTATGATTATGGTCTACTACATTAAATAATTAATATAATTTTAACTAATACTTTCAGATTTTAAAATATGCCCGAAAAAAGTCCGGAGGAGATAAAAGATTTGCTAAAACAATTCAGAGAATGGATAAACAGCGATCCGCAACTGCCAAATGATATTGGTAATGAGTTAAAACTTTGTATTAAGTGCATTTGAATACAGGTACTATTTTTAACTCGATAGATACCGCTTAAATAGAAGTGGTCTTAACAAAATTTCATGAAGTACATCCTTCTCCTCAAAACGCATTTGCATCGCACTCAGGTAACACTTGCGTATTTGAAGACTTCAAATGTAAAACCGATGACGTATCCGCTATATAATCCACTTCTCGTATCATGTGACATGTTTTTGTCAAAACTTAGTCATAGTTAGCACAGTGTAATGTAACTTAAAACCGTGAAACGTTAAGAATTGATCGGTCATTATGATATTTCTACATCTGACTACGCAGCAGATAAAAGTTGTAAATGGGTGGTAGGATAAGAAATAGGTTATTTAAAAGAGTATTAATGGTACCAATACAATTGAAGTTTCAGTATGTCATTTGTACTATAATAATATACGATCAAATAATTCATTTACTGTTTGAATATTAAAATTATTTTTTTTTGCAGAGGACAGAATATTGACGCGATTCCTCCACGGCTGCCACTACGACTTGGAGAAGACAAAGAATGCTTTCAAGATATTTATATCGGTTAGGGAACAATGTCCAGAACTGTTATGTGATAGAGATCCACTTTCACCTCAAGTCCAGAAGATGTTCACATTCTTGTAAGTTTATAATTTATGCTGGGGTCGATGTTGAGTGTAGATGATTTTTATCTTCTATAAACAATCAGACTCCAGTGGTTACTCTCTAGTCATGATTCCAGTCATAGGATATGGCATCTTTTACTTTATTAACGACGAACAAATTATAAAGAATAATGATGAAGGATTTGACGGTAACGCTTCTGTCAAATCCTTAATCATTTTTCTTTATCATTTTAGGATTTGACAGAAGAAGTAAGATGAAACGAAATACCGTCATAACATCGATAAGATGTCGTATCTTATGGTTAGAATCATGGCTATAGAGTAAGTCGGATGCACCACTTATTTCAGCGAATGAGAAACTTTGAAAAAAGAAACATTTAATTTAATGATCTTAATGGATAGTGTTTGTTTATTTTTTTTTCCGAATTTCAGAAAACAAGCTCAGATTATGCTCTCGAACAACAGAAAGCTCTGGATATGGAAATTGGACGATCCTGGACTACAAAATTTCGACTCATTTCAAGACGCGAAAATGTTTTTCATCACGACAGATATGTGGCTATTGTTTGACGATATATTAGAGGATGAAGACATATTGCTGACTGATACCAAAGATATAATATCGATGAAGTTTTTCTTTACCAAATTCAGTTTCTCTATAGCAAGGAAGATGATGAGATATCAGCAGGTGAGCTAATGGACTATTAATCTATATCAAATAAATAAAGTAAACGCAAAATATATCCGATCGTAACATAGAATTTACGAAGACTGTTTCCGTAATGACTCGTCATTATAATAAATAAAAAATAATAAGAAAGTTGACCTGAAAGATAATGTCGATGTAAAAGTTAGATAATGATACTTGTTCCGTTTTTTAACATATGGAAAAGTGCCGGTCTAAGCTGGAAGAGACTAAGATGTGCCTTTCGTAAACAAATCAATCGCCTCTCATACTATACGAAAAACGTATGTAAAGACCCTTCGTGGCGCTCATTTCCCTCTTAATAATAAGTTAAGTCTTCAAGGCCATTACATTACACATTGATATTATGATTGAATTAATTGAAGGTTCTAAATTTAAACAATTTTTGCATTTTGCATATAAATTTGAGAAATCTAATAATATGTCTAATAATATGATTTTTTTAAGTCTCAAGAGACGATTCTCTTGACTTGACTTGACTTTTTAATCGATTTAAAAAGTTCAAATTAATTAATTTAGTAGAATTTATTTATTTAGTAGATTGGTGCAAATAAAATTATCATTCATTCATTCATTCAATTAAATCCGCAACTTGTACGCTTTAATTGTTTCAATGTCATTTATTCAACACAGTTACATAAAAAAAAGACATACTAAAGAAAAGAAGAGAATAATACCTACTTGTGTCAAAATGGCATCTAGTTCAGCCCTTGTCGGTAGAACTGACGCCGATTTAACTAGACCCTTTCCTCTTTTGACACACGGATGCCACCCATTACACATTGAACATGGACGTTTCATACAACATAAACAAATTTCGTAAACACTTATTCGTTTTACATACCATGAAAAATCGAAATAAGAAGAACAAGAAACACAAGCAAGGGCTGCTTTTCATTATTTCTCACAGAGAAGTAAATCATTTTCAATTGCTGTAGTAAAAATGACATAAATTGGATATATTTAATTTAAACAAATAGGCAATGAACGACATCAAACCTACGTACACACGGCTGCACGTCAGGTTACCATAATATTTCTGCAATACATTTTGACCTCTAACTTCAATTTATTATGGTTTAAAATAAAGTGGGGAAATTTGTCAGTTTTCTATAGTTTAATGTGCAATTGACTGTACAATACGTTGCTTGTTGCTATACTAATAAGAAAGATTTGTTTGTATAGCCTCCAAAACTACTGGACCGAATAGGGATGATGATAATTTTTTGTTTGTTTAATCCATCGGGTAGATTGTCAAAGAATATTTAACATGTATTTTTTTCGTAATCAATAAATTATACTTAATGTCACAAGACGTCACGCTTTTGTACATTTCCTACAAATCTGTGACGAAGCGAAGACTCCTCAGCTGCCAATGCCTATTTTTTCTGAGTTATTTCATGTGAAGTTGGAGCAAAATTAAACTTATTCTTTTTCTGTTATCTGACTGACGGACTAGATGAGATGCTATTATAACGTAAACATTTACATAATTTTGTCTACTGACGCAGTCTTGTGTACTTTCAATCTGGAACATTAATTTCATAAAGAAATTATGAATCTTCTTTTGTTTTTTTGCAGGAGGCGTTACCGGTACGATTAAAGCAGATACATGTTGTGAATGCTCCTCCCTTTATAGATAGAATATTTAGTTGGTTAAAGCCGTTTTTAAAGAAGGAAATCACAGAAATGGTTAGTATAAAAATTAGGCAATATATATTTTTTAGAGTACAATCTTGATATACTTACAATGTTAGTAAAATTAAATTCCATCTCAATCACTGGCAAAATTTATTTTAGATTTTTGTAGGATAGATGTAAATAGATTGAATTCAAAATGTATATGTACTAATATTATAAAGCTGAAGAGTTTGTTTGTTTGTTTGTTTGAACGCGCTAATCTCAGGAACTAGTGGTTTGAATTGAAAAAATATTTTTGTGTTGAATAGACCATTTATCGAGGAAGGCTTTAGGCTATATAACATCACGCTGCAACTATTAGGAGCGAAGAAATAATCACATATAATAATGAAATAATACCTATCGATGCTTGATAAAATAAAAGGGTTAAGATCATCAGTAAACTAAGTAAACAAATTACAAAACGAACATTCCACTAATAGGCTAATTGCAACTGAATCTTGTCATACACAATATATAGAAGAATGGAAATATACGATTTTCTTGTATCAATGCACACTTTGGACTCTCAGGCAATGAGCTAGCTGACCAAGCCGCTAAAGTCACAGCCTCTGAAGATACGCCAGTGGAATTTGCACCAATATCATTATCCAATATCATACCACAAGAGAATGGCAAGATCGGAAACTAACAAAGTAATAGACGATAGATATTGCACTTTATCCAATAACGTACCGTACAAGAGAATGGCAAGTTCGGAAACTACCAAAGTTATAGACGATAGATATAGGATACAGCACAACGGGAAATTATACAAAAAACTTAATGCCAAATATAGGAAATATAAATAGTATTCTTACCAACATACAACCTGATATCGCCATCAAACAAATTTTAACCAATCACGAATACCATTTGTAATATCTTCATTGTTTTAAAATAAAGACCACTGATAATTGCCCATGTGATAATATGTTATGTTATGTACAAACGTAACATATTATCGTAAACGCGTACATAGCATATAAGCGTAGTGCATTAAAGTACGGTCCTTTATCAGGCGTTTTACCTGATAAAGGACCGTACTTTAATGCACTACGCTTATGATACCTAGAAACATTTAAATTCGTTAATAGTGCCTAACAAACCAAACGTCAAACCATATAATTTAAAAGATATAATCAACAAAGAAATAACAATCGACTCCTATGAAAAAAATCATCCGACTAATTATAAATAACTTAGAGGAGAAATCGCTTGCTATAGGTTTACGACTAGATTTACCCAATGATTTCATTGTTTAGTTACATAGTGATTTAAGATCATATTTGAAAGATAAAGGCATCACATAAATATGATGATAATAACAGTATGTAACTACGCAATAAAATCATTGGTAAATCTACTCGTAAACTAATAGCAAGTGATTTATTGATCAAACACGGGTAGTAAATAAAAATAAAGAATACTTATATTTCCTGTAATAATATTTTTACCTTTTCCGTGATATAGATTTATAGAGGACTTCCCAATTCAACAAAGAAGTAACAATCGACTCCTATGAAAAAATCATCCGACTAATTATAAATAACTTAAAGGATAAATCGCTTGCTATAGGTTTACGACTAGATTTACCCAATGATTTCATTGTTTAGTTACATAGTGATTTAAGATCATATTTGAAAGATAAAGGTATCACATAAATATGATGATAATAACAGTATGTAACTACGCAATAAAATCATTGGTAAATCTACTCGTAAACTAATAGCAAGTGATTTATTGATCAAACACGGATAGTAAATAAAAATAAAGTATACTTATATTTCCTGTAATAATATTTTTACCTTTTCCGTAATATAGATTTTTAGAGGACCTCCCAATTGTTTATTACAAATATATGAGGCGTTATGTATTTTTGGTGTGTGGGTATAGCCCACACATTTGTGGATAACTATGATTCTTAAAGTGAAATATTTTTAAAGATTCTTAGGTTGAAAGATTTGATTAATTATTTGTTTGCATTTAATCCTCTAAAACTACTGGACCGATTTTAAAAATTATTTTACTTTGGGAAAGCTATATCATACGCGGATGACGTAAGCTATACTTTACGCAGGTGGAGTCGCGGGAACAGCAAGTACATATTTTAGTTATTGCAATATAATGTAGATAGTATAACTGTTAGCAGAAGACAGCAGAAGCACGTAAGGTTATACAAAACTGCAATTTTAATAAGATAAAAATGTATTAGTTAAGGTTAATTGCTCAACGTCCATACATTGGTGGCCCCAGAGCCAAAAAAATACAGGAAAATACTTATTTTATTATGTGTCACTAACTAATTCTCATTATGTATTTATTATACCGCGACCGAGTTTTAGAACTTATAATCACGCAAAATATAATTCATTTTGAGGTTATAATTTGTTTGGAAAACCACCAAGAGATGGCACTCTAAGTACATGATATGATATTGATGTCTATATTGTCGAAGCAAAAAACTCAACTTTAAGAAAGTCGGTTTTTCGTTGTAATTTGTAAAAGTTTCTAAGTCAATCAATAGACAATAAGTCATTCTAATAGTTAAATAATATACCTATTGATAAGCTTAAAATTAAAAACCTATAGCTTTTTTAATGGTTTACATCAAAAGATGGCGCCTTAAATACATAAATGACATGATGTTAATATGTTTACGAGAATATAAAGGTAATGTAATAGAAACAAAGTAGTTTTTAGGATATGTCGTATGAATATCAATCTTTCTGAATAAATAAGAGTGAATTATCAACAGTTAATGAATATAGTTTGTATAATATTCAGTTTTTATGTCCTTATGTTTTAGTTGAAAAATCACCAAGAAATGGCGCTTTTAGTAAATTTAAGTTTATTTTCGGTCAATTTAATTTAATGTTATTGTGTTCGATGATTTAAAGGTTATCTATAAAAATAAATGATCTTCTTGATCTGACGTGTAAATTATATCTATCTGACTCAATAGAATTTAATTATATTGAATGTGAATATTTGCGAATAAAATGTTACTGTTAAAGTACTTTTAAATATTAATTTTGGATCGCAGCTTGTCCGTGTCAAATAAATATTTGATTCCAATTTAATAAATAGATTAGTAATTATTATTGAAGTATTGATATTTAATGGTATTGGGTCCATTTTCAGCGATGTCCTTTGATATATTGTGGTAATTTGACGTACAGCCATGTGTACATACAACAACACATTATATTACCATTTTATATAGTTTGTTGTACTGTAGACTATACTTTAATTCCAAAACGTTAACACATCTCCCTTACAGATGCACTTTCACACTCCGAACTCCGATACTCTCTATAATTACTTTACAAAAGACGAGCTCCCTGAAGACTACGGAGGCACTCGAGGTAAAATAGACGACCATATGAAGAAGTACGTGGAACAAGTAGTTAGCAAGAGGTAATGAATATGTTTTTACATAGGTACCTACTTCCGTCTGCGACGCGAATCTTTCATTTGGTAATAGCATAATAGTTTACAAAATATAAGTAGGGTATAACTGTGAATCTATAATACCTAGCACCTTCTACACCTAGCGCAAAATTTGTAGCAAATTCTTTCCAAATAACACAACGCAATTAATATGTGACTCGAGTTTTATTTGTCAGTATATGAGTTTAGTCAGAAGTGTGGCTTATTTTAAATTTCTTGCATTTTTTAACGCTGACTTGAAAAAATTATTTATTAGTTCTGAACAATAGCCCGTAGCATTTGCTATGATTTGCTACTTTTGCTACGTGGTTAATCCGAACCATGGATGAGCTTGAGATAATAAATATTATGGTCACCCATCCTATGCCGGACACTTGCGAAACTTGCTTAACTTCCGCATCGCAGGCCGATCGCGCTAAGCAATGCGCTACCGAACTTCTCATTAACCGCGTGGATATTGGTACAAGCACAGCCGAGGAGCAGAAGACAGGTCGGATATTTTTTATGTGGCTATTTTGGTAACACCTACCATTTATAACCGACTTCAAAATTGCAAAGAAGGAGGTTATATGTTGATCGATGTATTTTTTTTTTGAATACTAAAATTATATTTGAAAAGAATCTAGTAATAAGTTGTATTGTTTATGTGTCATTAATATTTTCTTTGTGTACAAGTCTATTCGATGTGGATAATATTTGCCCCAATACTTCGTTATTATTATGTATCTATCGAGATCTAATAGGTTCAATATTGTTATATTTATGATTTTTCTTATTTGTTACAGGGAATACTTTCTCAAAAATGATCTCTGGAAATTAAAACATGAAGATGACCTGAAAAATAATCTAGATAAACTTGACGATGTGAAACTGTCGACTCTCACTATAGATTAATTAATTACTGTTAGATATTTTTTATTGACAAAGTTTGTTATTGAATTTTTTTTATAATTAAATATTTTTTATAAATTTGAAGTTCTTTTTTAATTAAAAAAAGTCCTAGATTTCATTTAAGTATAAAGCGATTCAAATTTTGTTAGAACTGCAAAATAAACGAAAGCCATTCTTGGAATTCTGATGGGTGTCATAATAGTAATATCATATGTAGTAGGTAGGTAATAATAATTATTATTTATACACAACCAAAATATAAAAAAAAAAATGTTAAAATTAAACTTTATAAAAACTATGGCTAACGCATATTACACAAAGATAAGCAAGTGTAGCCGAGCTAGTTTATCACTGCACTTCGGCCTACAGAGCCCTCCCAGCGTTTATTGTCTTTGTTAAAGAATTCGGAAAATATAATAATTAAAAATTATCAAAAAATAATTAAATTATATGATAATAAAGAAAAGAATTAATACTTTTAAATGAAATAAAATTTTAATCACCCGCCTTTGTTACAGTAACTAAATGATTATATGCATGAGTATAAAAGTATAATTTGAAAAACATTAAAAAAATTAATTTGATAATTAACATATGATAAAATAAAAGGTAGTAATATAATATCATGAGATATTCACATCACATATATAGGTACATCAGCAATATATTATTGCCCCCACTACCGAAGCACAGGTCTTCTCTATGGATAGAATTGAATTAAATAGAAAGAATGGGACACATTACCCGCCACGAGGGCCCAATACGGATTGGTGGTTGTTAACGATTGCAGATGCAGCCGGGACCCATGGCTTAACGTGCCTTTTGAAGCACGGAGGAGCTCGAGATAATAATTTTTGGACACCCATACTATGACTGGCTCTTGCGAAATTTGCTTAATAACATTATAGCCGATCGCGCTTATCACCCACCCAAGGAGCTCCTAAATAATGCCTAGATAAATCTATTATTGAGGATATTCTAAGTGATTGATATAAGTACTCCACATAATTCTTTTAGGTAAGCCACCAAATAGGTTCATCCACTCCACTGACTACTCGTTACGACCTCCGTAGCAGAGTTGCTTGCATGGCAGGTTCGATTCCAAAGTGTACATTTCTATGTCTCTTGTCTGGGTGATGTGGAACCTAATACTACATAATACGATGGCTATGCTACTATCTTGGTATTTGAACAATGAAATGAAAAATGAAAATGTTTATTTCATCATCTAGACAATATCATATACATATAGGTTTTGGAGACTCCATATAAGCAAATCTTTGCTTGTATTGGGAGATCCCACTCTTCCATTAACATAGCACTGTGTTTGTACATGTGAGATTTTAACAATTTTATATTTTATATATTTATGTATAAAAGTAAAAACAAAAACAAAAAGAGAAGAGAAAAAGAGAACTTTTTAATTTTAGTGCATGTAGTGCATATT